TTTTTTTTTTTTTTTTAAAGATTTTATTTATTTATTTGACAGAGAGACATAGCGAGAGCAGGAACACAAGCAGGGGGAATGGGAGAGGGAGAAGCAGGCTTCCTGCGGAGCACGGAGCCCGATGTGGGACTCGATCCCAGGACCCTGGGATCATGACCTGAGCCAAAGGCAAATGCTTAACGACTGAGCCACCCAGGCGCCCTCTGTTAAATTTTTTGAATGTCAGGTTTGGATTGCCTCGGTGTCCCCCATTGAATCCTTTTTCTCAGGTCTGGGTTCATAAACAAAGTGAAGCTTGGCTTATTGGAACCAAGAACAACTTTGCCTTTAAATTTTTATATTATTTGAATAAATAGTAATTTACAGTTACTTCATAGTAACTATAATAGTAATGATGATACTAAATTATATTGAAATTATAATAGTAATAATAGTATATTATTTCAGTAAAGAATTAGATAGTAAATACCAAGTAATCCACTTTTGTTATAGCGTGCCTTTTTTTGTTGTTGTTATTTTACTAATAATGACCAACAGAGGGCATAGAAGTACCATTGATGTGACTTAACAGTTGTTTCATAGCATTCTTCTCTTAAGAAAAATGCCATTCTTAGAATAAGTTTTGTTTTGCTTTTGAAATTGGAATCTAGCTAAAGGTCTGGTATCTCAAAGTGTTCTCCAACTCCTAGTGGTACACTTCTGCTTTCACTAAATAAATACAGAGAGCAATTATCAAAAGAAAGAAAGAGAAGGAAAGAGAGAAGCAACCCTGCATACTAATATGATACACTTGGTAAACAAAACCATGGCCCAGTTTCATCTTATCCACTAACAATAGATGTCTTCTAGCGTCGAGTGAATAAAAATGCACTAGAAATTTCATGTAAGTTAGTTTCAGGAAAACAAAATTGATTTTATTTATCCTAATAGTAGCTAAGCATTTTGTAGCTATTTTACTGAAACTCAGTGTTATTATTGCCAAAGCTATTGTTTAATATTCAGAAGCCAAATTCATTCAACAGTTCTGATGTTGTTTTTGAAAACTAATCTTTCTATAATTATTAATTAGTTATTATGGTTTTCCTAGAGTGTTAAGAAGGAATTTTTGTTTCTTTTTCTCATGCCTTCCTGCATAAATGACATCTGTTTTGATCTTTGATTCTTGAAGCCGTTCTTTCTTTTTAGGAATGAAATTATTTATAAACATTAGAACAATTCAAACTATGCTTGCTGAATATTTAATCCGTATCTTCAGTTTGCATCACAAATTTTTAATCGTGCTGTAAGTCTTTTTAGTTGAAGTTCTACTTGACCCCCAAATAAATTCTATCTGTGTTTATTTTGATAGACAAGAATATCATTGAATCGTTTGGAAGATTTTCTCAACACCGAGGAGCTTCATCCTCAAAATATTGAAACAAACTACATAGGAGGTCAGCATTTCCTCTGCACTCAATATTTATTTGACTTCCGGGCTGAAGATAATTGGCTCTCAAATGTATTTATTTTTCTTCTCAGATCATGCCGTTGGTTTTACAAATGCTTCCTTCTCTTGGGGTAAAACAGGGATTCCAGTACTAAAAAAGTAAGTCATGGTTTGAGAAAAATGAAAAACAAAAAATTTTTTTTAGCATTGAATTCTAAAGTGTTCCATATTTTTATTTCTTAGCATTTTTAAAGGAAAAGATGAATATATTGAAATTTACAAGACTTTTCTTTTTTAACCTCTCATAATACCTTCTGTTTTTATGGATTTTTTTTTTTTTTTTTTTTTTACTCTCTTGTTTTCTATTCATTTCCTCTGTTTCCTCTGCAGCATTTATTGTTTGCATTTTGGAAGGTTGGGTATTCATAGAATAATTTAATATCATAGGAATAGCAGCAATTTCAAGGACAATGCTCAGCACTCTAACTTATCTGGGAATAAACATTAAAAATGTAACAAGAACTCCCTATATCATCTCTCTCCTTTTCTTGTCATGCAGCTTGAACATAAAGATTCCAGAAGGAGCTTTAGTGGCTGTTGTGGGGCAAGTTGGATCTGGAAAATCATCTGTGCTTTCTGCCATTCTGGGGGAAATGGAGAAACTTACAGGAGTTGTTCAAAGAAAGGTAAAGCCAACAGTACATTCAGTCCACATCTCCTAGTGTAATAGGCTATGGCCAACACATGGTTAGCGCCAATAAGAATTTATCAAATCAAATTGAAGATGCAAGTATTTAATGGGCATTTCTAGTTTGTAGCAAACATTTCAATTTCCACAAAAATTGATTAGCTATGGATGGATTAGTAATAGCATTCTGTCCTCCAAATACTTTAGCGAATCATTTATGAATGCTTATGGTAATTGTTTGATGATATTAACTGAATTGCAACCAATTATAGAGAAACTAACACAATTTATATTTTAATTTGATTTGGTTTCTAATTATCATTCATTGCAAAGTTACCTAAGTAATTACAGCCACATTTCCAAGAAGTCTTGTAGTTGCTCAGGGGTAGGGTCTTTGACCCAGAAAAAAAAAATCAGAAAAATAATAATATTATTATTTTTTATTTTATTATGTTATGTTAGTCACCATACATTACATCATTAGTTTTTGATGTAGTGTTCCATGATTCATTGTTTGTGCATAACACCCAGTGCTCCATGCAGAACGTGCCCTCCTTAATACCCATCACCAGGCTAACCCATCCCCCCACACCCCTCCCCTCTAGAACCCTCAGTTTGTTTCTCAGAGTCCATAGTCTCTCATCGTTCATCTAAATAATATTATTTTTAAATACTTTTAAGTTTCAGCCCTTGGACTATGGAGAGGACTACTCCAAACCTTTTGTTCTATTCTTAAAAGTCGATAGGAATAAGAATTCAACAGGTTGTTAATCAACTGTTATTTTTTTGAAACACTAGACTAATGAGTTTTAGATTTAACTAACTCTTAGGTAAAATACTAACCTAATTCTTCCTTCTCATTTCTGACAAGATGGAGAAGTTCTATGGATGTGAGACCAGTTACTTCACAGTTTTTCTCTCTAGGAAGAATCAACTCCAACTCTTTCATTTTTCTTCATAATATGGATTTCCTCATATCCTTATGTCTTTTCTGATTCCAGTCCTCTAATGATTATCCCTTTATTTTTTCTTTTCTCTTTCAGTATTATTATTATTATTTATTTTAGGATCAACTATGGTATCTGGGACTTTTTCTGATAAAATTATACTTAATGAATACCACTACTTTAAACCTTAAGTATACTGTCTTTGTACCCTTATGTTCTTCATAATGATTGTAGTGAGTCATTTGTCTATAGTTGAAGATGACTGTAACTTATCTTAGGCCAGTGAGTATCCTTTAATAATATGATTCTCGGGCGCCTGGGTGGCTCAGATGGTTAAGCATCTGCCTTTGGCTCAGGTCATGATCCCAGGGTCCTGGGATTGAGTCCCGCATCGGGCTCCCTGCTCAGCGGGGAGCCTGCTTCTCCCTCTGCCTCTCTCTCTGTCTCTCTGTCTCTCATGAATAAATAAGTAAAATCTTAAAAATAAATAAATAAACAAAATCTTAAAAAAATAAAATAAATAAAAATATGATTCTCATATTGACTTTATTTTCATTTATTTAGTGTCTTCAGCTATTTGTACCGAGCAATTATTGCACACATACTATGTGCCTGGCACTTAGTACTAGGGAAACAGGCATGAATATGATATACCCTTCTTTTTACTGTTTATTGTCTAGTGAGGGAGATACAAAATCAATTATGACAAGTGTTTAAATCAGATAAAAAAATGAATCAAAGTATAAAAAACAACAAACTCTGGAGAGTTAGAAAAATTATCAGATTTTTACTTGATCTTAAAAAAATATTTAGGAATTGATCAAGATAAAAACAATATCAATTCTGGATTTCATCTAATGCATTAATGTGCAAAGACCTAGCCTGGTTCTTGGCACAGAGTCAGCTAGCTCCCTGTGAATTTTTATGGTTATTGTTATCTTTATTATGATTGTTGAAGTACTCATGGTAAGATTTAAAGATTATTTCTGATCCTTTGAAGGTTTGAAATTAAGAAAACGTTCATGGTGATGCAAGAAATTATAACAATGCTGTTACTAATCACAAGACAGAGAGGACAACCTTTGTTTATATTAAGCGAGAGTTGTGGAAGAGACAAGATATTATCTATCAATAAAATTGACAGTTTTGTCCTTCAGGAAGTTCTTTGGTCTGGACCAATGGCAGGATATGAGGATATGGGGATAAATTATTTCCCAAAACTTTTTTTTTTTTTTTAAGAGAGGGAGAGAAGGGCAGGGGAGAGGCAGAGGGAGAGGGAGAGAGAGAATCTTGAGAATCTTAAGCAGGTTCCACACCCAGCGCAGAGGCCGTCTTGGGGCTCAATCTCACAACCAGGAGATCATGACCCAAGCTGAAACCAAAAGTCAGACGCTTAACCGATTGAGCCACCCAGGAACTCCTCAAAACATTTTTAATCCTGAATTTATAACTGTCATTCTTATCATCTCTAATTTAATAATAATAATAATAATAATAATAACGAACTTAACACTTAGTGTTTACAAGGTGCTTTTTTTTTTTTAAAGATTTTATTTATTTATTTGAGAGAGAGAGAGAATGAGAGATAGAGAGCACGAGAGGGAAGAGGGTCAGAGGGAGAAGCAGACTCCCCGCTGAGCAGGGAGCCCAATGCGGGACTCGATCCCGGGACTCCAGGATCATGACCTGAGCTGAAGGCAGTCGCTTAACCAACTGAGCCACCCAGGCGCCCCTACAAGGTGCTTTTATGTTTTATCTTTCTGTTCCTCAAGGTTTCCTATGAGCACTTTTTTGAGACATATCATATCACAACATTCAACCTTCAGTCTCCTTGTTCTCAATATCAAAGGTTCACACCAGGCACCATTCATGCAAACTTTTCAGTATCCAGTGTTCTTTAATGGAACCTTAGAGATTTGGAAGACAGTTTTTGAGTTAGCAAAACTTCTGTTATGGTTTCATTATTAAGAATAAAATGAAATAAAAACACATTTTCATTTGTATATGAAATTGAAATAATAATTATTCTAAAAATTAAAGGAAGAATTTATTACCTCTGTGAAAATGGATCAACTCTTCTTCAGCTCCAGTCACACCAACACATCAAGTCTATAGCTCTCAGTATAGTATTTAGTTTCTGTTTTATATTTTGCACCATTGTTCCTGTTCTTCAGTCTTTTTTTCGGTGTTCTTCCTCTGTTCCCCTTATCTTGCTAAGTATATAAGTGTTCAAAATCTCTATCACTTGAGAATTGATTTAATATTATTTTAGTCAAAGGTTATTCAGGGTAAGGCAATTCAAGAGCAATTACTTTTGTGTTCAAGATCAAGTCAGATCAGAATTACATTGTTTGGGATCGAAAGCCACTCCATGTCTTACGTGCTCAACAAAGAAGAATTAAAAGTTAATCTTTGATTTATAAAGTACCTGGAGAAATCAAAAGGCTAATAGTTACACACATATCCGTAGGTTAGTAGGGCAAAAAGTACTTTAAGTGTCTTGTATTGTGTAGTCAAAATAAATTCTCTAAAATCAGTGTATGGATAGAGTCCATGGGGCAGATTGAAAGGTAAGTCTCTAGTTTAAATTTTGTGGGTCCTTTCTAAGAAAAGAAGGGTTAGTTAAAAGGATTTATTATACAGTAAACTGTCATATATTCAGGAATCATTTTGAGTCATAAAATCATCAAAAAGTAAGCATAGGAGTAGTGAGTGTGTGGAAGATATAGATGTGCCACCCAGATACCCTAGGTCTAGCAAGGGCTTGCCTCCCAGCCCTGGGAGTACATACAGCAAGTTAGCTCCTTCAGGGTTGGCCTGCTGACAATGGCCTGGCTGAGGCCTCACAACTGAAAGCCAGGCCAATTTAGCCTAACACGGAACAACTCTGATGGGTAATACTCTATATCTCTCTAGAGGGTTGGTCAAAGCTTTGTTGGATCTGGATCACGGTGTGACTTCTCCATCCACCCAATCCTCCTACCTACTTTCCTTCCACAAGAATTGATTCCAAATAAACAACTTGCACTCCAGGCTCATTGTTATGCACTAAACTGTGTGTTCCCCCAAAATTCATATGTTAAAGTCCTAATCCCAAGAATGTGACTGTATTTGGAGATAAAGTCTTTAAAGAGGTAATTAAGATATAATAGGGTGGGCCTTAATCCAATATGACTGGTGTTCTTAAGAGAAGAAGAAATTAAGACACACATACCCACACAGAGAGGTAAGGCCATGTGAAGACTCAAGAAAAGGCAGTCATCCACAAGCTAAGGAGATAGGCCTTAGAAGACATCAACCCTGCAGACAACTTGTCACACTTCTAGCCTCCAGAATTGTGAGAAAAGAAATTTCTGTTGTCTAAGCAATCCAGTCTGTGGTATCTTGTTAACGGCAACTGGAGCTGGCTAATACAATCAGCCTCTTCTTCCAGAAAACTCCACCAGAGACAGATAACTTTGATAGAAACTACAGGGAAAGCAAATAAGAAGTACAAAGTAACTCCATGTATAAAATTAAAATGTAAATAGGCTATAGTTACAGTTAAGAAATAACCTAGTTTTTTAAAAATTCAGTTTAAAGTTAAAGCAAAACTGTGGACTGAATATGTTCCTTTAATGTAGTATATGCAACTTTTTCTTTTCCCTTGTTAAGAGCATGTCTTTTATTTCTTCCCTTTTTAGGGTTCTGTGGCTTATGTTGCCCAGCAGGCCTGGATTCAGAATTGCATTTTACAAGAAAACATTCTCTTTGGCTCCATCATGCAGAAGCAGTTTTATGAGCGAGTATTGGAAGCCTGTGCCCTCCTTCCTGATTTGGAGCAGTTACCAAATGGAGATCAAACTGAGATTGGAGAAAGAGTAAGGAAAATATAATTTATCATATGCAGGAATAAAACTCCATTCAGCCGTGCTAATAAAATATTTATAGTCTTTTTCCTGAGGTCCTAGAGAGCCATACACAACCATAATTTTTAAAAATCATTGCAGAATTCCTATGAAGGAGATGGCAATATTAAGGACAAATAATTATCTGTAATTGACTATTTGGAAAACAGTTTTAAAATCAGCAGGAAATTCTGTCGTTAGGATCTACGTGGGGGAATGAAAGCCCACCAACTGGATCATCAGCACTTTGTTTTCATTGCTGGCTCACTATCTAACGAGTGAATGATAATTTGTTTTGTTGTTTTTTTTTTTTCCCTGTGTCTCTTGTGCACAAAGTCAAGCCTAGGACAGTAGCAACAGAGCACCAGTCTCCAGCGGTGGCACCGAGGCCAGGTTCTAAAAAGGCTCAGGGACGATGCTGTCATTAATGTGTCTTCTCCGTGTTTGCTCATTCTTGCTTAAGAGGATCTTGTTTCGCATAGTCTTTGTTCTATTTTATTTTCATTGCATTAATGAATAGTCATTACGCGGCCCAGTGTTTTGGAGTTAAAACAAAACAAAACAAGATAGCGTGAGCCAAAGCATGAACCCCGAGAGATTATCTCCGACCCGTGACTAAAATCTCCATTAATTAAACATGAATGCAAAAGCAGCCTCTGCCCGTGATTCACGTGTGCTGTGAAGATGAGTAAATAATCCTTGCCAAGTGCTTCGAATTTCTGAAAAGAGAGCATAGCATTGTTAGGCATTTTTACCCCTGGCCCCCTGTTGTTTAATAGTCCTCTTATATAAATTGATAAATAAAATAGAGAACAAAATCATAGAAAGTGGGCATATTAAAAAAAAACTCTAGAATGAGGCAAAATTTACCTCTTACATAGATTTATGTTGGCTTCACTCATAGTCTGTTACTTTGCAGATGTATTTTCTCAAGTTATTAAATAGATTTAATTTTTTTCCCCACCTCTCTGGTTTTTTTCTGGTGTCTTCACTGTCTGTAGGCAAAATGGCCCCATAGCTAAAATTTTGCAGAAATGTGACTTCTTCAAACTTGTTAGTACATATTGAATATTATGCCAATAAAGCCAATCTCTAATAACATGAAATAGTTGATAATATGTAACTAAAAATAATCTAAAGAAGAAAAATTTTCAAAATATGAAGTATATATTTAATATAGGCATAAATGTTATTGCTGTTTATAACTTTTACTTTTTATTAGTGTCTCCCAATCTGATGATATACTTTAAAATAAACATGTAATTGAATATTCCAAAAGGCAATCTGTTTACAGCTGTTTAGGAGGCAAGCAAGATAACAAAGGTAGAATTTTCCTCACTTTCCTTTATCTTTTCCTTTGGCATTGTTCAATTGACCACAAATATTTCTCAATGTATTATTATATGCCTTTATTCTGCTGTGGGGTACACAGTGGTGAGCAAGAGAGCTATCACCCTGCCTTCAAGAGATTTGCAGTCTAGTGAATCTCTGCCAATGAAATTATCAGTTGTCCTTTATTAATATTAATCATCAGACAGTCTATGTGCTGGGAATGCAAGGATGAATTTAGCTCATAGTCTTGTGAGGGAGACTGATGTGGATATAGCCATTTCTGGCAATGGGATGAGCAAATGGAGCACCATCAGGACAGGAATGGGGGGACGGAATCAGTTTACTTGGAATACTGGGTGGAGGATTGCTTTCAAAGGGGACTTCCTAGAGTGAATAGCTTTTGAATTGAAAAGGGAAGATATGGGCTCCCTAGCAGAGTGACCAGCCTCTGCTAGTCTGGTTGGCAGGAAGCATTGGGAGAGTGATTGAAAGATGAGTTAATACGAGAACATAAGTATTATACTAAGGAACTCGCTGTTGCTCATGGGTGATGGCAGATGAGATGTGGGCATCACAGGTGTTTAAACAAGGTGATTTCATAATCACAGGATATGCAATGACAAGGCAGAGGATGCACTGGAGAGAGGAGTGATTGGGTGATGATAGTGAGGTTGATTGCATCTGTACTTGGGTGTTGGATTTGTTGTAAATATTTTACATTCATCTTATTAAATGCTCATGACACACCCATGAGTTGGGGGCTGTTATAATCACACACACACAAGCACACACACACACACATACACACACACACACGTATCATATTACTTTATATATTTTTTTCATGCCTGTCTCCCCTGCTAAACTGTGACCTTCTCATGATAGAGGCTCAGTTTCATTTATCTCTGAATCCCAAGTGTTAGCGTAGCACCCGGAATATGGTTATACAAAGGAGGTATTTTTTGAGTAGGCGGAGGATGAGAAAAGCAAAAAAGCAATGGTATTTTATAATTAGAGGTAACTGGCTAAGTTCTGTGCTGCAAGGAGGGCTTTTAAGCCAGATCTGTAAACACTAAATATAAAATAAATAAAGTAAATTGGGCCTGGCCCCATAATTCTGTAGATGTGGCTGTACATGTCGACTTTAATTCTCACACGGAATGATGTATATTCCTTATTCTTGCTTCTTAGAGTTGTACTTTTGCCAACAAGACTTGTACTAATCTTTCTACAGAATAAAATAGGACATGATGATTACTGCTTTGGTAATTTAGCTATTATTCTCAATTTTCTATGTGTCAATTTAAAAATGATCACTGGTGTTGGTATATGGTTGGCAGCCAAAAGTCTTATTTAATATATCAGAGGCATGACTTTTCAGAGTTAGGGAATTGGAAATTTTCTCCTTAATTGTTAGTATCTACTTTTGAGAGCAAGCAGTTAAGAAAAAGTAGATATATCTGTTAATTTGCACAAGTTAGTAGCACTTCGAAATAGGGGGTGGGGGTAGGCCTTTGGATTTTGTAATAAAGAAGGGTTTGAGGGTTAATCTTGAGTTTTCTATCCATGCTGCAGAAGAGAAATTGGATGTCACTATACGTGCTTTGAGATTTACACATTTATGGTCTTGGTTTTTTCCTCCTGCTCCATCTGCAGGGTGTGAATATAAGTGGGGGCCAGAAGCACCGTGTAAGTCTGGCCAGAGCTGTGTATAGTGGGGCTGACATCTACCTCCTGGATGATCCCTTTGCTGCAGTTGATGTCCATGTTGGAAAGCAACTTTTTGAAAAAGTGATTGGGTCCTCGGGTATTTTGAAAAACAAGGTAGCCATAGTGTCACTTATGCTTTTGGGGGGAAAAGGGAAGATGATAATCTGTATAGCATTGTGCCTAAAATTCCAACATTTTGTTCATTTGTTGAAGTAAAGTAGTGATAATTCATATGAAAAAGGGGATATAATACTGACCTTTTTACAGATAAACTTTAATGAATATTTTTTAAAGTTTTTTTTTACAAGTTTACTCTGACAATAATTTATGTGATTGTTACCTTATAGACTGATACCATACTCTAAGGGGATTTGTATGTCAGAATGAATTGGTTTTAGTTTACTTGATTTTTTTTAAGTGGTATTTTCATACATACACTTGCATAAAAAAGTATTATTTTACTGATTATTTATTGCTTAAAACTATGGTATTATTAACATAGCAGTAACAATTCAGCTCTCTTGTGAAAGGGCCAAGAAGAAAGGAATTAATATTTACCAAGTGCATACCATGTCTGACACTAAATTAGTTAATTTAGTTCTTATAGCAAGTCTCTGAATAGGTATTATTATTCCTGTTTTACCTATGAGGGAACTTGGGACTCAAAATGATTTGATACAGGTAGCTTAGCTTAAGAACAGCAGAGGTTTTAATAACATGTAGAATTGTTGAACCACTATGTTGTACCCCTGAAACTAATGTAACATCGTATGCAAACGTATTTTAATTAAAAAAAAAAAAAAAAAGAACAGCAGAGATTTTAAAAAGTCTGTCTGACCACAAGGCCATACTCATTCCTTCATAATATGCATTTATAGACTTGTTAATATAAGGCACTCTGGAAAACATTGAATAAATACATGAAATGTTAAAGTATATATCTAAGTAAATAATAGATAAATGTCTTTACTTATTAAAATGAGCCCAAGATAAAAATCTCTGGTTCAATCCTATGTGTATGTGTACAATAATATGGAAAGACTTAAAAAATAAATACTATGAATTATGACTGGAATCACTTTGTTGTAATGCTATAGGACCTTTAAAAAGTAAGCATGAATGACAGATATGAAATTTTTAAATTTGTTATGAAATTGATTCATTTTTAATGAATGAAGACTACCTGAACCAGAGGGTTAAAACACTTGCAATCTTTGTTTGTTTGTCTGGTTTTTGTCTAACAGCCTATAATCATTCATTGTGAAATACATATATGCTGCCTTATACTGGTACCTACTAACGATTACACTCTGCAATAGTAAAAAAAAAAACAAAACCAAACTGCAGCTTTCTTTAAAATAGATTATTTTTACCTTTTTTTTTTTTTTTGTAACCCAAGGAATAAAATACTGTTTTTCAGACTCGTATTTTAGTGACACATAACCTCGCACTTCTGCCACAGATGGATCTGATTGTTGTCATGGAGAGTGGCAGAGTTGCACACATGGGAACATACCAGGAGCTGCTGTCGAAAACCAGAAACCTCACAAATTTGCTTCAGGCCTTCAGTGAACGAGAAAAAGGTGAGACACGATGAAAAATAAGCCTACAATGCCGTGTGCCTAGCCATTCCGAAAGTCCATTAATTGTGTGATTTCTTACAATGCATTTTTCTTCATTCATCCTGCTTAAGTCAGGAGCTGGGCACCTTCCTTTCTCTAGAAAAGAAACAAACGTTGGGACACAGCAGCTAAAAATTACCCTCATTTATGATTTTTTAAGCAAAATGTTATGCCCCACGATCTGTTTGTTCATCTCTGAAATAAAAGATTAGTTGATTTATAAGCTCTACTGCGGGTCTAGAATATAATGGGTCTAAACATTCTACTTTCTTTAAAATTAAGAACAGGGAGCATAAATCCATGTCAAGTAAGTAATAAATATTTTAAACATATTGTTGCATGCTGAGGAGGAGAAACGAACAAACAGAAAAGGAATCTGAGGAAAGACAAAGGGGAATGATATTTGTCTAACTTTTATGAGACAACAGTTGAGTTTACTCACTGATTTTTGTTAGTATACTCCTACCATTTTAAATTAAGATTATACATGTTTATGTAAATGAAGTGGTTTGATCCTTACCTAATTAAGACACAGGGATGTTTGAAGTTGAGTATTAGCTTAATATTCTAGAGGTCAGTTATTTCCCATCTTTGAAAGTGTAGGGGTGCCTGGGTGGCTCAGATGGTTAAGCGTCTGCCTTTGGCTCAGGTCATGATCCCAGGGTCCTGGGATGGAGCCCCACATTGCATCGGGCTCCCTGCTCAGCAGGGAGTCTGCTGCTCCCCCTGTTTATGCTCTCTTGCTCTCTCTGTCTGTCAAATAAATAAATAAAATTAAAAAAAAGAAAGAAAGTGTAATGTGCATCATCTCTTTTTCCATCTATAGATGCTTTCTCAGGTAGACCGCTATGATACTTGTCCTATAACTTCCCAGAATACCACTGGGAAATGACTATAAAATCAGTTGACTACTTCATAATTTCAGGATAACAGAGGAAATATAGAGCTATATCTCAGTATTTCCTATATGAACTTGTATCCACTAATCACTTTACACTGTACCTAGTTATAAAAGTCATAAAAATATGAAACCAGTTTATAACAGCATCGGTGCAATTTATTATTTGAATGTTGTGAAATCAAAGCGATTTTGTTGATGTGTTTCTTTTTTTGGACCTAAGCTAATACACTTTAGTTATATACTACTATTTTTTGTCTTTCTTGTCTTTATTCCTTTCTCAAATTCAAATATTCTATTTGTAGATGCATTCAGAAATATCTGATGCATCATCAGATGGCTATGGTCATTTTTTTTTTTTAAGATTTTATTCATTTATTTGAGAGAGAGCACGAGCAGGGGGAGCTGCAGGCAGAGGGAGAAGCAGGCTCCCTACTAAGCAGGGATCCCGATGTGGGACTCGATCCCAGGACCCTGGGATCATGACCTGAGCCAAAGGCAGACGCTCAACCGACTAAGCCACCCAGGCATCCCAGCTATGGTCATTCTTAATAAAAGAAGCACCTTCTCTTCTCTTAATGGCTAACAATTTTGAAAATGATCTCTTGTCTTCTTGGCCAAGCTAAGTAATAATTTATGCTTACTGTATGTATAGGAAAGAGGTGACTGTGAGTGTCTCCTAGGATGAAAGTGTGGTCTATCATTTTTCTCTCTTCCCAGCACTTAGGTAGCTTCATGCTAGGCACATTACTGGTCCTCAGTAGCTGTTTGTTAAACAGGTGAATCTGCCAGAAGCGTGTCTCCTCAGGAGTTAATGGGATGATTTGGAATGCTATGAGCCAGTGTATTTTTCATGTGGCCATTTATTTTAAAGGCCACATGAAATATAAGTTGTATTACTTTGGAAAATATAGCTCGAAAAGCAGGCAATGCATAAGTTTTATGGTCAGTATTTAATTTACCATAAGATATAAACAGTGTATCTTTTGAAAGTTGTGGAATTTGCTCTTGTTTAAAACCCCAGTTTTGGAAACAAATATCATGCCTTCTCTTTTATTTCTGTATAACTTCTTATGTACATGAATCCTCTCTGGTAACAAATGGAAAGCAGTATTATTCTTGAAGTTGGCCTGACATTAATAGATGTTACTACCTCACTGTCAGAAATATGCCAGAGTTAGAAAAATGCAAATTGAACTTTTTTTTCCCCTAATGACTTCAATATTGTGTCTTCTCTATCAAAATTCAGGAAGGTGATGAGTAGAGATAATTTTTGTACTAAAAATATAATACATTTTTGAAAAAGGGTATTTCTGGGATTTTGATTTTTTTTTGGATGCTGAATAAAAAAATGTAAAGGCTTTTTAAAGGCCACCATAAAATTACACATGATGATACTAGATGTTAGATAGATATTTGTAAAAGGTCAGTCATGTATCGTGTAATTCCCTTAGGGGCCACACAGAGCAAGGCAAAAGTAGATTTTGATGATATAAACCACCCCACTAAATATTAGTTTCAAACCAGGTTACATTCAGTGTCAAGTTCTTAATTAATTATTTATTTATTTATTTATTTATTTATTTGAGAGAGAGATTGCATGTGAGCACGAGTCGGGGGAGGAGCAGAGGGACAAGTAGACTCTGTGCTGAGCCCGGAGCCCGGAGCCCAGAGCCCTACGCGGGGCTCCATCTCAACAACTCTCCGATCCTGACCTGAGCCGAAATCAAGAGTCAGATGCTTAACTGACTGAGCCACCCAGGCGCCCCCAGTGTCAAGTTCTTACAGTGCTGCCCTTAGATCTGGACCAACATGACCTAGTACTATACTCTACCTTATTCTGGCCTTTCTTAGCTGCCTCTCTAGTCAAGAGCCCAAGGATTGTGCCCATCAGGGGTCTCCTTCCAATCTTCTACTTTTTGAGTATTCCAGGTATTTGGGGGTTCCAGAATTCTCTGCCCAAATAACATAAACTCGCTCCTCAATCCTTTCCTCCCAAAGGCAGGCTAATCTACTGGCATTTGCCACTCTTTGGCCTGAGGAATTTTTTCTTTCTTGGAGAGATAGGTTAGGGTGAACAAAGCCTGGACATATGGGCTGAGGTGTCCACAGACATGGAGCAGGATGGGGTTGGGGTGGGAGAGAAGGGGACAAGGGCCTTTACTGGGACTACCTCACCTAGGACTGTTAGGTTTCCAAGGAGCTCTTAGGATTTCAAACACTCTCACGTGGACCTCAGCTTTCGGGTGGTTGGGAAGGTATATTGGTTGGGATAAGCAATAGAACTTATTTATGGTACATTGGTTGGTTCCATCCGTTACTGTTAAATAATTAGGAATATGGTGTGTGGGCCTTCATTTATATTCTTGCCCTGGTACCCACCAATGTGAGGTGCAGGCCTGTCCCTGTGGGGCATTTCTTTTTCTTATTTGTAGAAGTAGTAGGGAAAACTCACATTATATCTGAGAGCATTGAGAGCATTTTTATTGGGATTTAGGGGAAAAGAATTACCTAGACAAGGAGTGGCATTTGAGAGGTGTGATCCCCGGTACTAAAACACCCTGTGACCTGTCATTTATGTTTTAACTTACCTTCTCTGATCTTGAGTCTGTTCAAGAATTTTTTCAAAAGGTACACAATCCTTCCATTTTAAAATTCATGTTAACTTATGTGACACCAGCGTGGGAGTAAAAGTCCTGGGCCAATTTTAGGCTGCCCCAGGCTCTAGTTCTGACTCTGAATAACTATGTGAGTCTTCAGAGAGTTGACTCAACACCTCTGGTTCTTCCCATTTATGAAAAATAGGACTGAACTAAGTCTTTTTTTTCCTAGTGGCTGATGTGGAATTGAACAATGCACATTTGTATCATTCCCTTGCCTCCAAAACTACTTATGACTTAGCCACTTTTTCTTCTTTTCCTACCATCCTCACCTTCACTATTAAGGTTAATAACAGATAACCTAGAAAAAGTAGTTTTTATAGTATAGTTTGAGTTTGGATACATCAGATCTTGGAGACTCCATCCAGCTCTGAAAAATCTACAAATCTCACCTTAAGGGGATTTTATATTAGAGAATCAGTCAGAGGTGAGAAGAAAGATCAATGAAGAAAGATATGAAGACTACTGATAAATTTACATATTTGTAGGTTTAGTCTAGGCTACTTCTTACCCACACTAATAATCCTGGTGATAGCTAGGAGGATGTCATAGGTAGTAAGTCAATATATTCACAACTTTTACCTTTACTTAATCCTCCCCGAAACCTCCTGAGACCGCATGGTCATGATTTTACAAAGATTAGGTATCTTGCACAAGTTAAGACAGATTGTAAGTGGCAGAATTTGAATCTGATACTACATCTGTTTCATGCGAGGCCAGCCAAACTCTTAAACATTATATCAAATGTGTAGGAACAAGTACGCTGACTTGGTGTGAAGAGACAGGAAGGGGTGTGTGGCTCAGCTCACTCTTGTTTGCTCTGTCTCTGTCTCTTTCCCTTCCTCTCTGTCTCTTTGATAACTGCTGGTTTCAGCAAGTCACCTATCCTACCTGAGTTTTATTTTTCCTTTGCAAAATATGGATAAGCTTAACTATTCTCTTTATCTTATAAGCTCATTTGGTATTCAAATTATGTAATGTATGTGAAAGACCTCTATAAATTGCAAATATATAAATTTTAAAATTATTATTATAAACTATAAAAATGAAAACGGTCCTTAGGCAGGAGGGGGCTGAAACATCTCCAGATCAAATTTTCATTCTGTGAGACATGGAATACCATGTTTCATAGAGATGGTTGATGTAAGTCAGATTTTTCCATTAAGGGCTATTAAGATGTTTACTTCTAGAAGTAAGAAAACATAGAATTCATAGAAGAGATTGTAGAAATTCCCAGGTCCAGTTCCTTTCTTTTAAAGATGAGAAGTCTGAAATCCAAGGAGTTTAAGTGTTATACTGTTACAAAAGACAAAACTCAGCCAAGCTCTGAGATGTTTCCCGTCAAATTCACAAGTAGTAACTTGAACCTCAATCTTGTAGCTCTAGATGTGAGACTTGTTTTGTGTGACCTGCTTAACTGCTCTATGCCTCAGTCTTTTCATCCCTAGAATAAAGGGATAATTATAGTATCTTCCTCATAGGAATCCTCTTGAGAATTAAGAATTATATATATATATATGTATATATATATAATTTAGAAAAATGCCTGCCATATAGGAAGCTATTATTAGTATTAGTGACATTAGAAAGAACGTGACAGAGATTTGGGGAATTTACCATTGTGTTTCATTAGTAATCTTCATAATAATCAAATTGTCTATAAGGCTTCATTAAATTGCATTTTTCTTTTAAAGACTAGAGTCATGTTCCTCTTGGGCAGATACCTAGCCGTTCTGTGGAAGTCCAAAACAAGTTAGCACTCCTCTCTAATGTCCAAAAAAAATAATTTGTGTAGGCTTTTTCATTATGAAATCTTAGTTTTAGAAGATGTTAGAAGATACTTCAGGTGAAGGGGAAATAATGGGAAAAATGAAAGGCCTCTCTGTATACCTGTGGATCCAGAACACAAAAATTTCTCCAACTGGTATAATCTTTCATCATAGCTCTCTATTTTATGCATTGTTTGCTTATATGTATATAAAAGCACTCACCATCTTCCTCTCCAGCTCATGCTTTAAAGCGAGTCAGTGTAATCAACTCCAGAACTATACTGAAAGACCAAATCTTGGAGCAAAATGATAGGTGAGTATTAGGATAATACCAGGCTCACTGGGATTATTAATAATTAATTACAATCCTTTTAACATCTAAAATGCTTCCTTTATAAAGGATCTACACATTATAATGGCTACAATATGTACTTAGTGGTCTCCAGATTTTAAATTCTAAGTTAGATGGATGTGTCTAAGGTTTTAAGAGAGATGGATGTGACTTAGTTTGGGAAATACATGCTCATTAGACTCTCAGTAACTTCTAGACAAATTCTAGTAGCAGAATTGTGTATGTGTGCGCCCTGTCCCCAACCCATAATAGTCATACCCACTGCTGATGTGAATGTGAAATAAGCTTTAGACGTGAGAATTCTACAATGGACTGGTATGGTTATCAGGCCAGGATATGTGACCTAGAAATAGGGACTTGGTGTAGGAATTGAAGAATCCGTTAAATGAAGCAAGAGAGAGGAAATAAAGAAGAGAGGGAGGAGGTGGGGGAGAAGGTACGAAGGGAAGGAGGGAGGGAGGAAGTGAAAGAAGGATAGGAGAAAGTGAGAGAAATAAAAATCATAAAACATTGACCCTGATTGGATTTTGTTACATTATACTTCCTTTTTTTTTTCAAAAGTGACTAAAATGAACAGTAATTAAAGCAAATTACCCTAATCTGTTATTTGCCCCAGTATTCCCCATAGCAGTTGCAAATAGGAGACTGAAAGAAAAAAAAAATAGGAATAAACAGAATTACAGGGAGCAGCCACTCATCAAAATTGCTAAAATGGAGAATCGGGATGGATTATAAGGAAGCAAGCACTTTGGGATCCATTGGCTCAGAATTTTGTAGATTTGACCTTGAATTAAAAAATGGACCTTGAATTTATTGATTTTGAAAAGAGTAGATGTTCCCAAGGATGTGTGCATGATGTGGATGTTGCAGGTTTGAGTTTTGCCTCTATATCAGATTCAGCAGAGTCAATAGATCAACTAAATCATTCTCCCAGATATCCATACAACTTGCTCACCCACCTTTTGCAGGTCTTTGCTCAAATATTACCTTATTGATGAAGACTTTGGGTTTAGCCACCCTATTTTGTCACAGTACTTCCCAACCCCTTCCAGGCTTATTTTTTTTTCTTATAATTCTTATTAATTTTCAGTACACTGGAGAATTTATTTACTTTTATTTTGTCTTTCACTTCTGGATTTTAAGCTTTATAACAGCCTAAATTTTTGTCTCTTTGTTCATTGCTTTATTGCCATCTAAGAAGTTTCAACTAAACACTGAATAAAAAGCTGTGTTATATGTTATAATAACATATAAGCTGATGTTCAATAAATAATTGTTGAATGGACGAATAAGTAACTGAATTCTGAAAGAACACTCAAGGGTCTTTTAATCCATCATTTATTCTATACCTTTCATTTAAATGAGTGTCCGTTTTTAAGGATCCCCAAGAGAAGTGAATCTAGAAGCACTGAACCAGACTTTGAAATTCATGTGCTATAGGATCTACACATCTCTAATCCTTAGGAGAATTTTCACCTGTGTATAGTTTCACCATGTAGTCAATATGGAACTTGTTTAAAAGCTTAGAACTTAAAAATCAGTAAGTATTGTTGTTCACTTAATGATACCCTTCTCTCTATAATAAATCAGTTGTCCTTATGTATAAAATCATTGTCAGTCACAATATCTAAATTGAACCCCTTGAAGTTTTTGTGAATCACTTTTGGAAAGTTTCTTCTTGAAACAGGAATCCCACTCCCTATAAAAATTTATTTACAGAATTGATTTCTAAACATTTCTCAAGTTGTAGAGGCTCAGACTGAAGCCAGCATTCTGAAACTTACTTCTCCAGTGACTGAGTACATTAGGAAGATCGCCTCAATTCCAATATGTTACATTCTTGTCAACACAGCGCACCTTCAAGCTTACTTCTTAATAACTGCGATGAAAATGTTATTGGTGGTCCATGAATTCCCCATGCTGATCTTTTCTTGTTTGTCATCATAGTATTTAAATCATTTTTTTATCTTGTGTTTGAGAGACCAGAGACCTATTTCAGTTTTTCCAAAATATGTGCATGTTTGGCTACTTCCTATGTATGTCCTTCCTATGTATTTATTTTCTGTGCTACTTCTCATTTTAGCTTTCACTTTTTATCTGCTTTACTGTTTGGTAAGATAATATTACATGGAGAAAATTTCCCTGGCTTTTTAACCTAACTTTCTATTTTTTAGAATTATCCAATTTCCACTTAGTGCAGCATTAAGATAGACGAGGGGCTGGAAGATACACACAGGCAGGAACTTTACAGCAGTTAGAGACTCTCTACAGTGGGATGTACAGTGGGATGTACTGAGATAGAATGCAGTGAGTCTTCCTCATGGAAGAATTAGTTCATGGGGATAGTGGCTAACTGCCCATCAGGAGGGGGGTAAAAAGGGAGTTGGACTAAATAATGTCTGAAATTTAAGACTTAGAATTACTTTATGATATGTTAGTTCAATTCACTAATAGGGACTAAAATAATTTGAACTGTTTCTACATTTTGCTTTTCACTTCCTGGTTTAAATTTACATGGTATATATTAATTATTTTATTCCTTTAAATATTTATTAATATCTTCCTCCAATAAAATAAATCAGGAATATGATTTCAGTATTAGACTGCCCCCTTCTGTCTTTCATGTCAGACTCTTTTAATCACTTTAATCCTCCCGTACATATTCCATACTTTGCAACTGCATGCTCAGTTCAGGGATAATGGTTTCAGTATGTTAATTTTATATCTTTTATACAAAAATATGCAGACGGGTATTGTGCCAACTTTCCTGAGGTTTTCTGAAGGACAACACAAGACTCATTTTTAAAACTTCTCTACTAGCATAAAATAATTTGCTCTTTTAAAATTCAGATGGAATCTGTTATTCATAACAGAGTGCCCAGAACCAAATGCAGTATTTTTGTGGAAAAAGAATAAGTAACATTGTAGTTTGCAAAAGCAATGCCCTCCTGTATGGTGTCCAATAAATTCTTGGTCTTTGTTACTTATGTCTAATTAGGATGCTTTAATTCCCTTTTAACAGTTGGGTTTCATAGCATTTTATATCCAACTACATTAAGAATTAATTTTTTGGCCTGACAACCAATGCTGAATTTGCTTATCCAAACAGAATCCATGCCAAGGGCTTGAAGGATGATGACAGTAATTAACCCAAATCATATACCAGGAGCTGTTCCAATGAAAATGTCTGTTAAATAGTGTATCTTTTCCTGATGGGGAAGCTGATTCTACAAAGATCATGTATTGCAACCTCCCACAGAATGTTTCTTGACACTAGTGCCAGAGATAGAAAGGGAAGAGCCACCAGACTGATCAAAAGCCTTTCTTATTCTGGTAAATAAAATGGAAAACATGGAGAAATGGGGGGAAATTAAACTCAATTCAGACCTTAACATACCCCATGCTTCTGTGTCCCTACAAGGAACAAAGAGAGATGTGTAAAAAGAATGATCATTACAGCAAAAAAGTAGGAAAAATCTACAGCCACTAGAACTACTGAGTTTGTTAAATGAATCTTAATATAGTAAAATGAAAATATAATGCAGTTATAGAATAATATTTTAGGTTCATTGCATACTGAGTTACAAAGACCATGTATAAAATTGTTTAAAAGTTGAAGAATGGTTTTAGAACAACATTTGTATTATGATACTACACACATGTGGAGGAAAGACTGGCAATATTCACAAACATGTTAGCACCAAATGTCTCTGGAACATAGGATTATGAATCTTCCTTCTCCTGCTTCTCTTCTTCCTCTTCTTTTCTCTCCTCCTCTGCCATTACTTTTCTTCATGCTGTTAGGTATTTTCCAACTGTTTCTCCAGTAATACAGTTCTAGAGGAATTGACACATACCAGGTGATTGGTTAGAAATGTACCAAGATTGAGACAAAGGAAGTGTTTGTGGCCCTTTACAAAGTCAGAGAAAGCTTTAAAGGAGGTAGGAAAATATCTGGTTCAGTTTAGGGTGGTATAGAGATAAACAAGCAAAGAAATGAAGTAAGCATGTTACTGTAGAGATCTGGAACTCAAGGGAGAGGTATGGACTAGAACAATCAGTTTGAGAGTCACCCACAAAGAAGAAGGTCATTGAAACTGAGTGAATGAGATTACTCAGAAGAGTGGAGCATACAAAGGAAATAGAGTTGGCCCTTGAACAATGTAAGGGGTTAGGACATCAACTCCCCCATGCAGCTGAAAATCTGAGTATGACTTTTGACTCTGCAAAAGCTTAACTACCAATAACCTATAGTTGACCGGAAGCCTTATTGATAGCAAACAGTCAATTAATACATGTTTTATATGTTATATGTATTATATACTGTATTCTTACAATAAAGTAAGCTAGAGAAAAGAAAATCTTATTAAGAAAATCAAAAGGAAGATACATTTACAGGACCATATGTATATTTATTGTAAAAGAAATCTGGATATAAGTGCACCTGTTTAGTTCATGTCTGTGTTGGTCAAGGATCGACTATAATGACTAGAATTGAGCCTGAGGAAACATAAACATTAAAGAGAGTACAGAGAAAGGAACCTAAAGAGAAACTCACAGAGGGCCAGAGGGGGGTGAGAAAATACAAATGCATGGTGGTAGGGAAGTTAAAGGAAATGTTCCTTAAACAAGGGAGTGGTCAATGATGTTAAGTGTCATGAAGAGTTTAAGTGAAATATTTTTTAAAGTATCCCATGGATATAACAATAAGTATTTTAATCATTTCATCAAGGCACCATTGATGGAAACACTTTCAGCCAGGTGCCAGACAGTTGAAGGAGGCAAAGTGGTTCAGCAGAAAAATGTTTGGCTATAAAAGGAAGGTAAGATAGGATGGTAACTGATGAAGGACATAGAGTTGAGAGTAGTGTCATTTTTGTGGTGCTGGTTTTAAGATGAGAATAATGTGTTGTTCTCTATGGGCTGATGGGAAGGAGTCAGGAGTAGGGAGGAGAAGATGAAGATGAGAAAAAATTGGGAAGAACTCAGGGTTTCTTAGATTTGCCTTAAGGTGAGAATCCCTTGGATCATTTGTTTGAAAGGCAGGTTTCTAGTGGGGGAAATCCTATAATCTGTATTTCTTTTTTTTTTTTTTAAGATTTTATTTATTTGACAGAGAGAGACACAGCGAGAGAGGGAACACAAGCAGGGGGAGTGGGAGAGGGAGAAGCAGGCCTCCCGCGGAGCTGGGAGCCCGATGCGGGGCTCCATCCCAGGACACTGGGATCATGACCTGAGCTGAAGTAAGACGCTTAATGACTGAGCCCCCCAGGCTCCCCTATAATCTGTATTTCTAACAAGTACCATCAAGTGACTCATTGACAAGACAGTGTGGAGACACTATAGTTAATAAATGTCTTTTGAGGAAATGGGACAGAATGGGATTCAGATCATATGGTTATTGAGGAGAGAATTTCCTTTGTTTACTATAGGAGGAAATTAGAAAAGTCTGCGCAGAGGTGCATGTAAATGTAGAGATTTGGTGACTGACTTTCCTGTCTGCCCTTACTTTCTCCATCAAGTAGGATGTGGGCCCCTTCTGAGAGTCGTGCAAGAATTTCTAAGCACTATTAAGAGCCCAGGTAGAGGGAAGATGTTAATTCATGGTGGAACCAATTTATAGAGCTGCATGATTTTTTTTGAAGCAAGTGTGATGAAGATTGACATGTGGGTTCTAACATGGAGTTTTAATGGAAAGAAAGGGGAGCCTGACAGTTCTGAATATTACCACAGTTTGGATAATATTGTAATCATGGAGTACAGGCTGGATAATGAAGTCAAAAGAGAGACGTAATAGGTTTGCCTGGGACTGAGAGTTTCTTGGAATATGGGGCAGTCAATGCTAAAATCAGGAATATCTGGGAAACCAGAATCATTGATCAGCCTAGGAGAGCAAGGATGGTAGGAAAGTTGGATTCAGGAGCTGGAAGTCTAGATGGAATTAAAACCAAATGTAGTGAGAGTTATTGAATGTACAATTTAGAAATAGAAGGGGTTATGGCCAGAGATTGAAATGTTTAGAGTTGGGTTTTCCAAGGTGGCTTAGTTCCTGATTATAAGACTCATGGCTTAAAGTCCTGACAGTTGATGATCAGAGTAGAATGCAGAGGAAGGACCTGGAAGTATGAAGGTCATGAGATTGAAAAGAGATTGAGTTTAATAAGCTGTCTGTGTAGACTATGACATCACCCAGGATGGTGGCAGAACAAAGTGGGACGATGAGCCCGATGCCAGTCTTTTTATTTATTTGCTTGTTTGTTTATTTATCTGAGAAAGAGAGAGAGAGAGCACATGAGCAAGGGGAGGAGCAGAGGGAGAGGGACAAGCAGACTCTGCACTGAGCGCAGCCCACCATGGGGCTTGATCCCATGGCCCTGAGATCATGACCTGAGCCAAAATCAAGAGTCAGATGCTCAACCAACTGAGCTACCTAGGTGCCCACTTTTAAAAAAATTTTTTTTTCTTAATTTTTATTCTTTTTTTAAAATTTTTTTATTGTGTTAATCACCATACATTACATCATTAATTCTATTTTTTTTTAAAGATTTTATTTATTTATTTGAGAGAGAGAGAGAGAGAGAATGAGAGATAGCAAGCACGAGAGGGAAGAGGGTCAGAGGGAGAAGCAGACTCCCCACTGAGTGGGGAGCCCCATGCGGGACTCGATCCCGGGACTCCAGGAACATGACCCGAGCCGAAGGCAGTCGCTTAACCAACTGAGCCACCCA